GTTAACCTTGCTGGAAGATACACTGGACAATGCCTTTCTAACGAACACAGCGCCGTCATTGCAGCAGCTGAGAAATACACTGGACAATGTCTTTCGGATGAAAACCGAGCGCTTGTTGCTGTAGCAGAAAAATACACTGGAAAGTGTATATCCAATGTCTCCAGTGCTCTTGTGTACGTTGCCGAGAAATACACCGGAAGATGTCTTTCTGGTGATTCCAATGCTTATGACGCTATAATGAGTAAACATGGGCGATTCAACTGTAACAGTAAATACTATGCCATTCTTGCTGTTTGCCTCTAAATAAGTCAATTCTTATTCATTCATTTTTGTTACTTAACACAAATTCAATCAACAATAAATCAATTCAGACTCAAATAATACTCACCAAGACTTTTTTCTATTTTACACGCGTCATTTCGCTCATTTGAATTGTTTCTCCATGAATCGCTTACTATCTTAAACAACGCATTGTCCATATTTGCCGGTTTGTCAAGTCGTCTTCCACCTGTTATGAAATTGACTACCTCCCATGGATATCTAAACATTTCTCTTGGGAAGGCCTCTCCCCATATAAATATCTCGTACATGGTCATTGCAAATGAATAGACGTCTGCACTTTCCTTGTATTTTTGTTTCTGAAGGATTTCAGGCGCCATGTACTTTGGTGTTCCAATACCCTTTGTGAATGTCATGTTCGTCATCAGTAAATTGACGTTTCTTGCACTTCCAAAATCAGTCAATTTTGCATTAATAACATCTGTACAACTCAGATCTAATGAAAAGACTAAGATGTTGTCTGGCTTGATGTCTCTGTGTAAAATCCCATTTGTGTGTAAATACACAATTCCCTTTATAGCATCAAGACACATTTTCACTCGCAATTTAAGACCAAATTCGTCACTCTTTTTAGTGTCTATCAAATTTTGTAACGACCCAAATGGCGCATATTCGTGACCATACACACTTTTGTGTGATAAACACAGCCCCATAGAAATGGACGATATACTCACACTGAACTTATCTAACATCAAGACTTCATTTTCAAACTCA